AATGGCGGAGCAATCAGAAATAATTGGAACAACCATTCCGTCATACTATTTTGTAAATGTGTTAAAGCGAAGGGGGGTCGTCACCTGCGCATGCGTCAAATGGCCATAGCGTGTTATTGTTTACAAACAAGCGTCTTCCCATGAGCCTTTGCGTTTTAGCGTGTGTAGTAATCGTTGCTTGGGACTCAATTTCCGCGTGTGTGCAGGTGACGACACTTTCACTTTAAGCCCTGTGATTATTCTGTCTTCTATGGTTTGTCATATTACCTCAAACCCTGCAAATAGAAGTGTACATGGAATCATGGGAAGAAATGGTGTGCATGCCGTGTGAAAACTGTCATAAAGGTGATTAACAAGTCATACTTGTTTACAAATCTGGAAGGACAGTTGAAATCTGCCAGGTGTGCTTGTGATTTGCATAACAAAGGATGTTTACAATCTACTGACTTGCCTACGTAAGACAGCTGCTAGCAAGTCCACATTCTGATTGGCTCATGTGGACCCATAGGTGGTGTTTCTGAGTCTGGGCCATTTATGCCTATAAATAGGCTAGATTGAGGAGAGTTGGGGTCCACTATTTCACCATTACTTTGTGTGTTGCTGCTGCGATATTACGAGACAAATAATACAGGCTTCAATCATCATTCATTGGGACTTGTATGAACTGCTCTGCAATATCCTGTTATCAGCAGTGTCCTCGAGAATAACAGCATTCCTCTGTAAGCAAGATTCCTGTATTTTCTCCGTCGTTGTGTTGCAGAAGCGATTGACTGTCATCAATTTCCACATCCTGGAACTGTGAGTTATCACCAATGCACACTTCCCTAAGCAATCCCCTATTTAGTGAATTTATTCATTGTGTTTTTCTGTGCTTTGTTTCTAGTAATTCTTTTGAGAGGTATTAAAGCTAAGAGCTTTAACTAGATATTTTGGTGTATGTGTATTTCATTTCCAGTATATTGTCTTGTCTACTCCATACTAGCAGTGAAAGAACCCCCTGTCCAGTGTGAGTTCTGTGGGTGCCCCTCTCAATAGCAGTAAGCAGGCCTTACACTGTGACAAGCCCCATTTTACTCAAATCCCTCAACAAAAAACATATCGTGCCCAGGCCCCACTAGTTCACTTTGCAAGCATCCCGCTGTAACGGTAAGATCTTAATACTCGCCCGTTATGATACCAATGTATTTACACCATGTCAAATAGTTAAGGGAAATCATTCCCATACTGATTTTACCGAGATATAGCAATGTCGACTTGTCAATTAAATGTGAGTAATTTGTGTTGTCTTCTTGAACTTGTACATTCTCAACATTCTCATGTTTTTCATGTCATCGAGAGCGGACAAAAGTCGCCTTTGTAACACATCACTTCGTATTCATTTTAAAATTCCTTTACGCATGTGCACTGATCGTTTTGGTATTGGAAATAACAGCCAGTGCATACGCATATTGACAAATTCCCATTCCCAAAAATGTTAAATTATGAACAATGTTATATTATGAATCTTATCAGAACACTCGTTTTTAAACAGCATCATTATTCATTCATACAGAATGTGAATGTGTTTGGCTCGTATCGATCACATACCAATTATTTTTCATGCAATCGAACACACGTAACACAAAACAAGGCAAGTGTCTCGCCATCGTTGACAGACGTGTGTGCACTTACAGAATGACCACGCCGCTGAATTATCTCCATGAACAATGATGGCCTGTCTTGCAATGGTTTTGTGAATATTTGTAATAAGTAGCCATCCTCTTGGCCGTCAACGAGAATATTCAGTTCCTCAAGCTGAAAAATAATTGTATTATTATTATACATATTTCAGCAGAAAAAATAGCGTTTGTAAAAATCCGTATCAGCCCTCGTTCCAAAACGTATTGGTACTCGAGTTTGTTCTCATATGGGGTAAATTACATTATTATACATATAGCACCAAAAAATAGCGTTTGTAAAAATCCGTATCAGCCCTCGTTCCAAAACGTATTGGCACTCGAATTTGTTCTCATATGGGGTAAATTACATCACTAACACTGACGCATATAAGCGTTTTGTACGCCGCACTTGTTTAGAAGACAACATGGCGAGTATGCAAATCTTCATCATCCCGGCAAGATCAAACACAGCCACCACAGTTACTGAGTGCTGTATATGCAATACAGAAAGATTTCTACGACACGAAGAATAATCAGCAAGATATGTATACTTCTATGAAGTTCATTAATAACCAATTTGAAGAAATGAGAAAAAGAATGGAAGTAACTAGCGCGACAGAACATTCAATTACGTGGCACAGTATGGTGTATTTTGAAAAAAGCTTCGCGATCAAGATCAATACACCGGTAGAATTTTTCTAGAAATCAATGGAATCCCAGAAAATGAGAATGGCGAAGAGGATACGGACGTGAAAATTGCGTTGTCTGTATTCCGCAAAATAGATCCGATCATAACTACGGTCGACATTGACGTCACACATCGCATGGGTAAAAAATATTGACACCTCAAACAACAACCGAGATCAATTACTGTTCGTTTTACAGACAGGAAAAGACGGAATGTTATTTATGAAAATTGTCGTAATCTACGTGACATTACAACAAAGGATTTTGGATACCTTCATTCAAACTACATTTTTGTGAATGAAAACCTAATACTATCGTCATATCGGCTGTTATAAGGGGTCAATCGCGCAAGAAAGAAAGCACCCTATCAGTATCTCTGGAGTTATAATGGGCTATATATGTAAAAAAATACTGCAATGTTCATCACAATACTGTGTGGCAATTTTCCAGACTACTGATATTTGGAGAATGGCTTATTGGTACTACTATAATTACTGACTGATGTCGAGGTGCATTACACTGAAACATTGTGGCCAAATGCTAATATCGGTGGGAATAAATCGCCTGTTATTATAATAATCTTCAGAAAACCAAACACAAATGTTTAAAAGAGAATTCAATATTTCATAATATACCAATATAAATTTAAACAATTCAGACTAGTCATGTTAAAAATCTGTGTTACACATTGTCATCTTACAGCTACAAGCGCATTATTAATGTACCCGCACGTATAATCAATAACTCGCATTACTGTTATTGGCATTCACGAATATATATATATTCAAATGTTGTCAGTGCCGGTACAATGGTGGTAATATCCGACCACCTACCAATTTTTGGAATTTTCCAAGACTTAGAAACGTATTTTCCGGAAGTTTGGAGTAGTCGGGACTACTCCAAACTTAATATAATCAAATTTAAAAAGTGTTCATTATCTGTATGACGCATTCTTTATTTACTATTTTGAAAATTTGTAGCAAACGTTCCCCTCTCAAACAAATTGGTTCGCGCACTATGCCCCCCCCCAAAAACCTGGCTCAGTATGAAGTTAAAAGGGCAATAAATAAAAAAAAAATGTTTTCAAAAATGGTTATATGTAATTATAATGCGGACAGCGTTAAATATAAATGCTATAGGAATTATGTGACAAATCTTATAAGAGATGCGAAACGTAATTTCTATTCAGATCAGTTGAATATAATGGAAAAATTACTAAAACATGGGAATTAAATGAAATATTAGGAAGAGGACCTACAAAAACAAAATTACCGGACCAGAACCAATATTTTTAATCGAATGTTTCCCAGTATTACTAAGAAATACTTAAGTACTTAAGTAAATTTTCCTTGGTTTGAAATCTAATATGATATGTTTTGGCTACAGGCTGAAAGTGTTGTGAAATATAATTAGTAAAATGTCCATGAAGGCAGTAAAATACGAAAATGTCTAATTGTAACTAGTGTTTGTATATGTCAAGTATATTACAGCTAATAAGCAATAGAGAAGTATATGAAAATGAGGTGAACAAGTAATGTACGTACAATTCGTTTTTGAATAATATGTATTGTATGTAAATGAGTTTAGTTTAGTTTTCCAACATTTATGAAATATGTGGCAAAATAAATGAATTATACAGTAATTATAAAATTAATTTCTAAACAATTTTCCTTAATTTATATACGACACCTATTTTGCTCATCACATGATCAATATGTTGTTTTCCAATTCAAATTGCGGTCCAGTAGTACTCAATTTGGTTTTTAAATGTCAAACTCCCAAAAGTCGCTACTTTTGTATTTTACCTCTGAATAAAATATATTCAGTTTTGTTATTGTTTATTGTCAATTTATTACTGTCGCACAAGTTAACTATTTGATTTAACTTTTCATTAACATAATGTAGGTTAATAATGTTGGAATGTATAAAATAAACTGGTGTCGTCTGCAAACAGACGGATATCAAAGTGTGTAGATGATAATACAATGTCATTAACAAATAAAAAACTAACTAGGACCAAGTACAGAATTTAATTAAAAGTGAGTCTGGTGTTACAACATTTTCACTGACATGTTCTTTCTTGTTTTATAAATAACTCTCAAGAAAATCTAAAAGTAGGCCTCGTATTCCATATCACCCTCTAATACAGTGTATTTCATTTGTTTCTGCAAGCACTGAGGAATCAGAATAGATTAGCCCAAGGCTATTTCTTGGTTTTTTTGTTTAGCGACGTGCTTATGTAAATTTTTAGGTAAAATAGATATTTGATTGACTGATTGATTAGTTTTATGGACACCGGAAATAGAATCCTGATACTGAACGCTAACATGAGCTACAGTTTTTCATTGATTCATCACTACAAGCATGTATATCAAGATTATCACGGAAATATATCAAAGTATGTACGCGTTGGCCGATCTTAGTAGTATTATTTCAACATGTAGATGTATACAACTTGGGATTGTTAACAGAAATGTAATGGCAAGACCTAACACAGATTATTTGTTAGGAGACGCACAGTGTTGAAACTGATCATATCACGATTAAATACATCTTGGCACAATAAACAGAAACGGTTAATTAAACTCTTACCTTTTCCAAATTTTCATAAAGATTAATCTTCAAGTGTCGTATGCGCTCTTTTAAATTATCATAATACGAGGCGGGCACATATGGAAACTCTGTGCCACGTTCCTTAAGACGTTCAACTGTTGTTATGATGTCCGATGTGCTCAATGCGATATGCTGTATTCCGTCACCTCCATAATATTCTACATATTCCTGCATTATGAGCAAACACATTATTTAAATGCGTTAGATGCAGTGTCGATGTGTTCCTGCATTAAACGACGTTTCTATCCCAAGTAGCCTCATTTTGACAGCAGATGTTGGTGAGTGGGATTTTAGATGCTATGCCTGATTCAAACTATTATAGTAGAATGGTTTCATTGCTTTCCACAACTCATCAACACTTTATAAGTTGACCATAAAAAAGTCTAGATTCAATTTTCTTCAAAAAATATATAATCATGACCCAAAAGTGCCGGCTATATTTAAAAATAAAAATAAAAAAGGAAATAAATCTAGCTTAACTATATACAATACAAATTGCACAGTAGTTCAGCCCATTGGCTAAATCAAACAGATTTCAAATGCCTAGAACAAACAAACAACCCACAAACTAACAATTGTAAATACGAAACTATAAAGTACTGAAGAACAACTGACTCGCACACTGAAATAAAGAAAAGCAGAAAGAATAAACACAGAACACTTTTTTACTACTGATGTCACAGACGGACAGAAAGCTTATAACTATATAACTTATCCATTTATAATTGTAAACCCCCATAATGAATAGTGCACTCGTTGTGCACAAGTCTTTTTATGTTAATGTACACATATGTGGCATACTAGTAACAGTGACATGGAGAAATGTCTCTTTTCGTTACTTGTATTGGCATGGACACAAGGAATCACTGTAAAATTCCATTGTAATGTTTTATTGTCCAACCATCTTGTCTGTGAAGCAACATTTGTAATTACTTCATATTCTATAAAAACTTTGATGCGTTGCTTTTGCTATAAGGCACTTTATATAAAGTCTAATTCCAGCCAAAAAATTAAAAATAACAACCACTGTACCTCAATTTGACTTTTTCCTTTACCCGGAACAGATTCATTCAATGCTATTTTCAATGTTTCACTGTGATTAGTAAGAACGGTGGAACGAAAACCGCTAATATCTGTAGACAATTGGTGATACCAGAATTTATGAAACTTACAATTTTTTTCATACCTGTTAAATAAAGGTATATAATATGAAATTATTATTAAGCGATTAAAGCGGTATTGTTTAGACTTATAATTTAATCTCAACGTAAAATATGTAAAATATGAGTGATGCTCCTAAGAAATTGCATAATAGAAAAGCTCACTTCCAACCTGGCACGGACATACAAAGGTCATACCTTTTAAGAAGGGTTTCCAAAACGACTTACATTAGTGAACAAAGTATATCATTGGTTTGAGTTTGCAGAATACTCGCACAGAGAAATGGCCAACCTATTGTTTAGTATATCTCGGGTGAGATTGGAATTCCGGACTAATTGAGTATTGGACGAGTGTAACGTGCACTTCGCTATTGCATTTCACTTTTTTCACGTAGATAAATTTTAAATGGTACGAGATATGTCATGGCAGAAATTCAGTTAATCTAGAAATATACAAACCATTCAACTGCTTGTTCCATTAAAGTGTGGTTACTAACAATGTGATCAATATATTCCAGGTTTACCTGTGGTCTAATAGATATAGAATATAATAGAATTTCAAAACACTTCAAAAGACCAACTGAATATTAGACTACGATTAAGTGATCCACTGACATTGAAGAGAAACTCACAGTTTGGCGACAATTGGACCCGTACTTTCAATTGGTGCCTTGTATCCAGGGAGAAATATACCTTTGTACGTGAGATTTTCCACAAGTAGATGTGTTGTATCACCATACTATATATATTGGTAAACAAAAAAGAAATAATTTTACGCCAACTCACATCATGAGAAATCTGCCTGTAGGCTGTTACATTATATTGGACGGTCAGTACAGTAAGTGACATTGACATGCATTACACATATACAAACAATGAAATCAATTACTATAGTGAATTAACTTACTGGAGCAACTTTGGCAAATCTTACAGTGCCATTTTCATCAGACTCTTCCCAAGTATCTTTTAGAACCTTTCCTTCATTTTCTTTAATATTCTACATATATATATATGAACATCAATCCAAAGTAATGCATTGGTTTTATATAACAGTAACTGAGTACATCGTAAATTCAAAACTGGCACGAATACCGTGTTTTGAGTAAGAAATCGCTGTGACACGAATATGATTTTGTATTTTATGAGAACGCAGTTTTTGTAAATTCCTCACTTAAAAAAAATACAACAGATCACAAACTATATTAATCAGGACAATAAACGCGATCTGAATTATACCATCTATGGTAACAAAGTTAATACATTTCGGACTGATCAATAACAACTGATTTCTAATTCTAAAAATAGTGCTTCGTCATATCATATCCCGATTATCATTTAACATTTTCCCCTTCTGTTTTTTTACAATTTCTTTTCAACATTATTAAGTAGTATTGTCATTTCAGTCAATATGATCATTGCATTATTATCATAACTTAAGCTACCCAAAAACAAATTCAATTTGGTATATACTACAGTACTGATTTTACCTCAATAAGGGCACCACAGTTATTCACAGTCAATGCAATATCTCTGACACCATCCCCATGCTGTATTAGGTGATCACCAATTTCTGAAAGATAAAAATATAAGTAATATGCAATGAATCACGCCATGAGACATGCATGGTTATTTGTATAAACACATACTCGCTCTTAATATTTGCTCTCAAACGTATCACCCGTGGCGTGTGGTGATGACATATATAATGATGCACACACACACAATATAATATTTTGCTGTACTAAAACTCCATTCCTACCTTTGTTTCCTGATGTTAATGCTGACTTAAATACAAAGATAATCTACAGAATAATAAAATTGTGTTGATGATTCTTTGCAAGAAATGTAGCATTTAATATTTGACAGTTTTCAAAAAAAGGTATTTAAACTTGTTAAATTGTATATGTTATTTTGGTATTTATCTTATAATAAAAGCACACATTCTTGTATTTATCCAAATGATGCAAAACACAACTTATAAATATAAAATCCATCTAATAGAAACGTTAACACGATCTTTATTTATTATTTATCAGTCAACGAATACCGTCTTTTTAATTTCAAATTAGGGTTGCATTTATTTTGGAATAGAGCATTGTCACACAGATAACAAGTAAATGAACATTATCAGATACTCGCTAATCGCCATGTTAATGTCAGTTTTCTTTTTATGTCGACATCGAGGTACTTTGGGCGTGATGGGAAGAGTAGCACATAAAGTACTTTATTGTGCATAATTGTTGATATAGAAAATAGTGTTCTATATTGTTATACTTACATTTCCTTGTTTTATAACATGTGCCACGACAGATTTGCTACCAGTTTCTAAACCCTTGTAAGCGATTGGCTCAAATCCCATTCTGGTACAATAGAATATGGCTGCCTGTAAATAAACAAATAACCGTAATTCAACGCATAAAACATATTTTATTTTTTTCGAATTTAGACCACACTGATTTAATTTTATGGATGACATCCTCCGGAGACCCCAAAACTAATGCGAGAGGGCGAAAAAAAAAATTCCTGCCAAAAAAGAAAATGCTGCTAAAACCGCAGGACTACAGAACTGGTATTGCGAATTGACCACAGAACACAGTGTATCAAAAAAACAACAACAAGTCTTTATTTGTAGGAGGCACATGTTGATGTACGTATAGCTGTGTAAACGTCACATCTCCCTGGCCGACGTCAATTGCGTGCCAGTCTACAACAATCCCTCCGTTTTTCCTCTGAACTTTTATGCTCACGTATTTTGGTGGCGTGGTCCCGGCAACGCAATACGCATGTGCAGAAGATCATTTACGACAAAATTGGCACGTTTTGAGGTAGTTCAAAACGAGTTTTACGACAAGCCGGCGCTTTGCGACAATATGAGTCGGCAAGTTCCAGACAGAACACCGATCTGTAAAGACTCGTCGTCGGAGATTTGTTTTTTGAGAACAGGCGAAAACTATTGCGCGCGCGGATGTCATCCATAAAATTAAGTCGGTGTGGCCTTATGTTGGGAAATGTTTTACTTAGGTATGAATTAGAATTGTTGGTTCTGAAAGTCAACAATCTATTCATGTAGTAATTGAATAAAACATTTGGGCGATTGTGGTGTGAGTATGTTGTTTAGGATTACAGCTGCAGCGGAATATAGAAGACAGTGGACTTTTTCCCCAGTCTCAGTCTATATGTTAATGATTACATACCTCGTTAGTATTACTACGTAAAAACTTCCTAATGCATAAAAATCGAAATGTACATTATATCACTTACCTGTTTGGCATTTCCGACCCAGAATGTGATGTGATGAAAGTTGACAATTTGAAATTTGTCTGTCTGAAATATATATAGACAAATAATCTGTTGAATATATGATCGTGCAGTAACATTACAATAATTGTGTAATTGGTTACCTATGTTCATGGTTATACATACATACATGTATGTGAATTTGTGTGTATGTTGATGAGTGTATGCGTGTGTATACTGACTGTGTTGGAAAGCATCTGTACATATGTGTATTGGTGCATGGGTGGATAGGTGTATGTACATATGTAAGTGTTTCTGCCGAAGAGTGTATGTATTTATGCGTATATATGAGTTGTTGGTTGTGTGGGTGTCTGTTTTATATGATTTTATAGCTAGGTATGTCCGTGTGTGTAATAGGTAATTTAAATTAAACTTAAATTTGCAAAGCTAAAGGGTTAATTACAAGAGTAAGATATATCTTTGTTCCTTTTAATATGATTGTACCATATTTATGCCTTCAGTACTCCGGGCTTAACTCATTTATGAGGATTAGATATGAAACAAGAAGTTACTTTATTGGCGCCACATCATCATGATGTAGAATCACTATTGGTGTACAACAGAGTTATTTACAATAATGTCATACCACTAACAATGTGACCAATCATTGCTGTTTGCCGACGACATAATTATCTAATATCTAATTATCTAAGCTATCTAATACTACCGGGGACTGTGTCTACAATACTGCTTCACCATGCATATCCCATGCGTACGCGGGCGGGACATGTTTGCAAGACGTTTGACATGACACATTTAAATTGTATTGTTATAGACGGTTTGAGCAAGGGCGGTAGGCAAAAGTGCCTGGGTTAATACAATACTAGAAATAATACATGAATATTTTACTTCTTGGATAAAATAAGTTATTAGTTACATTGCCCAGACTCTGAGTTTTAGAAAACGTACGTCTAGTGCGTACAAGACATGGGCCGCGCGCTTTTTTAAAACGTTCGAATGTAGGACGCTTTCACCCCCGCTTTTCATAATAATAGACGGGGTCGTTGTGTCGTTACCGGAAGCGCTGTCCCAGCACAAACCTGTCAATCTCCCAGGCAAAGTTCTATTCCACGAATATACTTTCGGTGATCTAACCGCAAGGAGCTCTGGGAAGGAGAATGCAAACCTGTGTCATATGACGCCTTACTAGCCGATTTTGGCTAAATTAGCGCTCCGCCGCCTCTTTACACTAGTGTTTATACACGGAACTTGATATTTTTTTTCCAATTTAAGTTGCTTTTTAATCGCGTATTTTAGTGAAATATTGTTTAGTGAGTGAAATATTAATGTCATAAATAATTAAATCATGGAAATAACAGAAACTAAGACATGATAACGATAATCAAATTTGTGTTTGAAGTTCGAAAGTACTTGCGTAATTTCCGGTTTCAACTAGTTCGAAAATAGAACGTCCTTGAACGCGATAAAATCACGCGAACCAGACACTAGCAGCCGTAAACTCATTGCAAATTTGCGCAATGTTGGGGCCAGTTTGTCCTTACAATATTTCTAAGTTAAACTTTCATTTATCATTATTCAGTAAACAGGCACACCTTGCGCGATATGCGTCAGATCGGTGTTGAAAGAACGCCGACCTGCAGCGTCAATGTAGACGGGGTATGCTGGGACAGCGCTTCCTGTGACGACACAACGGGTATGACACGACTCAAGCTAACCAATAGGTGTTTGCCATATAGAACACGTGACCTGCAATTTTTCATTCAAAGCTCGTACCATTGTTTACGAGTATCATGCTCTTCTTCGCATTATTAGGCATGTCTGCTTTTTATTGAAGAAGGTACACACCATGTCCAATCATTAAAAACATAATTCACTAATCTGGGCTCAATATCGAACGTTTGCTGTGAAATGCAGAAATTTTAATAATCGCTGTTGTGCGATCACTCATGATGCATCGCTGTCACTAGATGCGTAGCTGCCGTTCTGTGCATATTTAAAGTTAGTTCGATGACGGGCGAAATAATCTTACCGGCATTAAACAACGATATAGCCTCGCAATACTGCAGCTACTAATGCATTGTTAACAATCAACTTCCCGGGTGACTCCGATTTTGAACAATATTTGTACAGCCGGAGTCAGGGTTCGATAACTCAAAAAATAGGCTCGATCATGCAAAATTTTCAATATGTTCATGAACAATTTGGTTTACTTCTGTATTCATAAAAAATGTCAAAACCATCACATAAAAATTACGTACAGTTTTACGCTAAAATAATGATGATGAGGTTATTTGGTTATTTCGTCATTTACGAACACCATAAATAATGTTCTTGAACGAGAAGTCTGGTACGCGGTGTGTCCGAAAATGGAACACACTGTGTCATACCCCGTCTATATTATATTTTCGCTAAATATTACTTCTTTATGGCGGAAACTAAGGAAACGAGAAATGTGCACGCGAGCGAGCGTTCCTTTTGGATATTTGCCAAAACGAAAAAATGGCCGGTGGTGGCGCTGTTCAATACTTCTTATGCCACTAATTCATAACTTACGGCTCGAAGGATACAAGGCGTTTCAAATCGAATGTGGAATTAAATAATATAAGCGAATGGTACATCCAGTATATATGTGTATATATATGTGTACATATATGAGGTACATTTAGACATAGTTATTCAAAGTAAATGTGTTTTATTGTCATTATTCAAATAAATCGTCAACATTTAAAAATTGTCATTAATCCTGGCTTATCTTACACTTTTGCCTACCGCCCTTGTTGTAAGTGCTAGAAATACACGAATTAAATAAAATATATTTGTGTGGTATTAATATTTATTAAAAAATATTAACATTTAGTACTCCGTTCAAATTTACTCATATATACCGTATTACATATTGCTATAATATTGATATTTCAGACATATCTATCATCCACCTCAGATCGGAAACTACCTTTCATCACAAATTATGACGATACATTTGGAGTACATTACCAGTAGCCCGAGTACTCTCAGAAACGTGCAATTGGAACGCAAGGGACTCCTCGTCTAATCGATTATATTAAAATTGCAATTAAAGCAGAATGTCATTATTTCTGATATTTTAAAATATCTTGAACTGGTATGTATATATGATGAGTACGTTTTGATATTCAAGTCAAATCCATGACAAGTGTTTATTTTAGATAGAAGGGTATTGCTACTATGCCGTATCAGCGGAGACAAATTGTCCATATTGTATAAATCGTCGAGCAATAGGTTGTGTATGTCGAATTAAATATTGCCGTAATTTCTACTTTAAATAATCATGTACTTACCATGTCGCAGTTGTAATGCATACACACTGTGTTCTTGGAGGTTTCTGTATCTTATATATGCGTAAGAACACAACAAAATGTTTTGTGAATTTGTGGTCGAATTGCTGCTTATGTATTCTCCACCTCGATATTTACTATTTATAGTGAGCGCACATATTATTCAATAAAATGCTGGTGGTTATTTTGTATGTATGTATGTATATTTTGTGTGAACCCCACCGTTTATTTTTATTCGTAACACGGCACCATATAGATTCGAATTGACATTGCCTCAATTTTCTATTTTTATGTTGCTGATATTTAATCCACATATATCTGATGTGACACTGATATGACAGATATCGACAGATTTTAGACGACAACGCACATTAAATCCTGCGTATAATGTTAGCAATTGCTAGTGACCTCAATACTTAATCGTCGCAAACTACGTGATATTAAAACAAATGGTATTAGATACCGTCATTCAAACTATATATTTGTGAATGAAAACCTAACATCATCGCCATGTCAGCCGATATCAACGGGCCAATCGCGCGAAAACGGAAGCACTCTATCACTACCTTTGGACTTATAAGGGGCGTATTTGCTTCAGAAGATTGAAACAAAAATATCAAAACTCTCTGAGTAAATACTGAAAATTGACTCAAATTTTCATTGTTGGCTAAAATCAGGATTCATTTCCAGAAATATTGAAGAATATAAACAAGTGCAGAACAATTTGGGCTAGAAAGTCTGGTGGTGAAAGGGTTAAACATGGATTTATAGTTCTACATATTTTGAATGATTTGTTGTTTGCTAACATGGACTGTTATTACTGTGCAAAATAATCTCTGAGATTTCCTTAGTCAATAGTATGGACTGATAATTTAATTAGTCGAGTAGAAAATGGGAGCCCTGTTACTGTATTGAGCTTTGTTGGTGATGAATCCGATACTGTTTTGATGCAACCTCGTCTTTCACTTGAAAACAATTGATTTGACTTTGGGCTTAACTCAATCTAATCATCATCCCTGTATTAAATTAGACTTACTAAAAGTTTACCACGAGTCAATTGTCCGAAGGCACTGTCCCCAACTGATGACACATGCAGCCGTTTCTACTATTTTAGTGCATTGTTTGAATCACATTGGTTTTTTGGGGTTTAGGTTGGTCAAATAATTTTCCACACAACATATCATTCATGTGAAATCAGGCAATTGTGTTTCTACCAGACAATACTGCACTCGTACACATAATACACACACAATCAACTAGGAGAAATGACATAATGAATCTTGTCCTGTAATTTTAATGACAAATTCCACAAGTTTTGTATAAAGTAATTTCATCTCCTCACAAACATTCTTTCAGTTAAATACTTTGATAAATGAATGTAATTTTTCAACTCGGGATATTTTATCGTTTTCCTATAAAACCTCGATATGACAACCTGCTTTCTACAAAACGCAAAATATATGCACAATACATAATATCCAGAAATAAGTATATTGTATCAAATTTAATACAATACATATTTACTTAGCATTTTCAGGGAAATCTCCAAAACATAACATCACTAAGTTAGACCTATTTTCAGTCAGCAAATCAGTAAATCAAATTATATATTCGACAGTGATCCCCACATCAACCAAAATTGAGTGCGTTCTCAAGTATGTGTGATAGTCATAATAATATGCATCATGCTCACCGTCTCAATTTAGATCTCAATTTTCTCCTAGCCAGTTTCATGTATTTTTTTGGCTGCAAAAATATATACTTCATCCAACAATAGAAAACGTTATATCTTATAGATACATATATATAAATATATATACTAACTTAATTTTATTGTAACTTAATGTAATTTTATATCGTGCACACAGCACATGTAATTTCATATCCTTCAATATATGGACCACGAGGTAGAGATCCACACCTGGCTTCAACTGGGTATAACAAAGCTCCATTATGATTATCAACACTCCCTGGCCGGGCTTCGGGATAACGATCAACGCAGATAAATTCGGATCGATCGAAGCTGTGTCTTTGTGTCATCAGATAACCATGGTATTCTCTGGTCCATTCTTCTGAAGGGCATTCATTGCGAGCTGGAACCATCAGAACTCTGCTGCGAGAATTAACCAAACACACTGCACATACAGAATCATGGTCGTATAGGTGGGATAACGGCTCAAAAAGATCAGTTTGATATTCAGTACCATACATATAACCACGGTATGTATTTGTATCACTTTAGGTTCGTCTCATGTCGGATTTAATGGCAGACATTGGTAGTTTGCACCGCCGCCCGAGTTGGCATGTTCTTCTCCACCAATGACACCTGTAACATAGGTAATTCACTGTATTTGTTTTCACATGACTTATTATGTAATGTGATGCCAAGTGAGACATTATCACGCGCGATATTGTACGGTAGACGACTAAGTTATCATTGATTGAATTGGCTATGTGATAAATAGAGTATTTATATTCGTAGACCTAGATTCATTACCATCAGTTATATCAAGCAGCTTTGTGAATTACAGATGAAGACAGATTGATGTGTGGTATTATCAGGTTGCACTTTATCTCGCCATTTATAAGATGAATACGAAGTTTTGAGTGACACTAAGAAAATTACTCTGACACTCTGACATAACACTACACAGCTTTTGGGGGAATTTACACAATATCATGAGGAGTATAAAAACAATGTGATATTCTTAGATTATTTTGATATTTTCAAAATTATCCCAAAATAGACTTAAACCAAACCCACCGTTATACACCAGCTCAGCCCTTGCAGGGCAAGTTTTACGACCCCATCGAATATACAGAGTACCTGGCCCATCTTGAATATTAATTTCTGCATATGAAGAATTTTCATTGATGCTGTTGTTGTTTGATTTCATCGCAGGTAAGCCGTCTATTATCAATATATACACAGAACAGTTATTACAGATGATGAAATTAACGTGGAGTAAATACTGCCTTAATGGATGATATGTATCTTATTCTCGCGGCGAAGCAACGTCACATAATGTTTCTGTTGCAAAGATGCGCACCTCTGTAAATGTATTTCTATGCGAGCTTCTGTGAAAGCCAGAAACAATTTATATATACTGTACATGTAGAGGTGATCTTGTTACACTGTTTAGGAGAGTCTCATAAAGTAACCCAAATCACAGTTTTTGACCGTTTTTACACCAGCTGTGGTTGCCACGTGGAAAAATGCCCGGATGTTTGCTCTCGAGAATATTGGGAACATGTAAGTTGAAGATGCCATGTCTTACGGTTACTGTACAACGAGTTATTAAATTTTACGTTGATTAGTTCGTTTTGACCAACGACATTTTCCTTGTCAACGGTTAGCAAATGATCTTGTCGACTGATACCACGCCCACCAGATAATCCCAGTACAGTTTCCTGTACAGATTGTCAAAGTTTAAGCTGGTAATTATATGCATTTTATGTTTTACATATATAAAACAAAATGTCTGTGTATAATAATGTAAACACAATTTCACCTTGACAGTTTACAAAATGATTTCACAGTTGACCTTAAAAGTTAATCTTATAAAAGTTAAATGGGAAAGAAAATATATTATGTCAAAGGGTTATAAAACGCTTTTCATAAACTTCATACATACATATTTGTAACCTCAATTGAAACCAAATTATTACACACAAAAACTCATAACTCTCAAACTACGCAATATCTAGTTACTGCGTAATTTCTAGTGCCATGTATATGTAGTTGTGTGTTTTTTTCCCATTCATAACATGTTATTTACACTTTGATGTAATGTTAGTTTTTTACTGCTACCCCAAACGGCATCATGTATTTTTTGACAAAATATATTTAGTCTACACCTGGTAGCGAACTCTAGTAAGTGTGGTTTCTTAGCTCGCTCTCAATAAGGTGCTGTTCACTCCAAATTCCCAATAGGGAATAAAATGAAATAGGGAATTCTAAAACGCCCTCTGAGTGTTCTAGTCTTTGTTGCGGCAATATTTTTAGATAATCACCTCGCAATACATTAGTGTGAAGTCACGATCGTGGTTTAATTTCTAATAAATTGATAATTGCTAAAGTAACTCAAATATACAACTAATAAGAAGCGTATACTCACATACATGCGTTTCCGTTTTCGTAATCAATATAATATTGAACTCACGCGAGCTGTTCTAATCTCAAATATTGGGAAATGATCTTTTGATGCTTGGCATATAGAGCTTAACTAATTAACACAAACATTCATACAATGTTGCCACGCCACGCCATGCCACACCACGCTCCGCCACGCTACTCTACAGTACGTCACGTCACGTCACGCCATGCCACTACACTACACGCCACTACACTACACTACACGACACGCCACGCCACGCCACTACACGCTACTACACTATACGTCACTACACGTCACTACACTACACTACACTACACTACACTACACTACACTACACTACACTACACTACACTACACTACACTACATTACACTACACTACGGCAATCGACTACACAACACTATTAATGAAACGAGGCTACGCCGTACCACGACAATCAACATGGCTACACTACATTATAATATACTATAGATTCTTACTTCAAGTTTCACGACCCGCACCAGTAATTCATCCACCATACTACGGTACTGCATATTTTCATTTTGCTGTTCTTGCATCTTCACAACCACCCATGATGTCATCACAATACATACACTGGTGAAAAAGACACATATCATGAAGCCGAATAGATATATGCCAGTCTTAAGACTCACCATGGTCTTTCCCTTGTCTTGTGTCATCATGATTTGAAACGTACAACACATACAATTGTAACAAGTTTATATGCAATCAGACCAGGACTGGTCACTATGTTAGACTCATTTAAACTTAGACTACAATTCACGTTATCTTACAATCCAATAGAAACATTTGGTTGAATTTTGTTCAATAATAAAATAAATCCAGGAATTATAATGCTATAATATAATGAACAATGCTGGAGAACATTTTACTGGTTGACTTTATTTTTAGCTGTTAGATATCACGACAGACATAATTAGTACTTTGTAGGGGGTTTTCCACACTGTAAACAGTCGTCAGATTGCAATATTATCAATAGTTTAAATAAAATAAATTAGTCACATTTGAGATTACGTATCTGTGTTGTCATTGATAATGGTATATAGAATATCAAAGGTCGTGTTAACCAGTCAATGTTATATGATTGGAAAACAACACATCGTTTTACGAAGCCGAACAAAATATGCCAGTTTACCGTGGTTTTTCCCTAGACATTGTGGCTTCAAATACACAATAAGAACAAGAGGGACTAGTTTAGTTCGATTTGACCAGAATTGGCAATCATCATGGCAGAGGGGTGTGATAAGAATGACATGATTAGACGTTGCGTTTCAGCTTTCAATGGATTTCAAACAATTAATGAGTGTGCATTCAATACCGTCTTGTTAATTAATATAATACAGAAATAAGTATAATGTAAGAGTACACGCCCACGTGTAGTCTCTCCACCTGCTTCTAAAATGAACGATTGCGTAATGCCATAATTGTTTACTTTATTCGTATTAGCTGGGTGTCATGGAGGACTTCAATCGGTACTTGTGCAGGGGTTTTCTACATTGCATGCACGAATGATAAAAAATATAATTTATCCACTGTCTGAGAACATATTTCGTGGCCACATTGCAAGCACGGCAATGCATATGTAGGTCACGTGTTGTTCTCGTTATCTGCTCTGTGGTACCACATTATCGGTACATTGTAGGGTTTTCCCCTAAAAGTTCAGTAGTCAGATATTAATCATACGCAAACAGTTACACAAGGTGGGTTAAATGATGGTGCGTTTTCGAATGTCATGTAACAATGTATTTTACACGCTTTGTGAATCTCGGTGAAGAATACATATTAAACATCCGTGGATCAACGACCAATGACTGACAAATAATTGTTGTATGTAAAGGTATTGAAGTGATAGCCTTGAATAGTTGTACATTTGCTTGACGTACCTGAGGAGTTCATATTGTGTGCCTTTTATGAACACTAATACTAAAAAAGAAACACGCGTGATTAAGGAATATACCTAGCTTGCTATTTTGTGTAGTCATTAGGCTAGATTTCTGGGATGCATTGGAAACATAATAACTAATTTTAAAGAATTTTCAAACTGTGATATTTTCACAATCTGATAAACTACAGTGGTGAACGAATTACTATATAAATCAATGTTGAGGATGGTATTATTTAAAATGACGTGTCTTTATTCAAATTGACACTTGAAATATGCAAATTTATAAAGTTCTTAATAAAATTCAAGAAATGTAAAATATTTTGAGATGATGACGTCAACCATGCTCAATCTGCTTGCATGTATTTGTATTACACAGTAATAGTGCCCACAAAGTTGCCACATGCCATGTGCCACGGTTCACGTGCATATTAGAGAATGTTATTATTTCATCAAACGAACGAACGATTTACGCTACAGGAACGGCGTTTTCACTTGACCATAGTTAAATTTATCAAACTATAGCATAGACGATATCTGTATTTTTTTCATTTGTCCGTGTTGTTAGAAACTACCAGAAAAATAAACGTTACCACACTGACGACACTACGTCATTTTATATTGTACACACGACACATGTAAGTTCATATCCGTCAATATATGGACCACAAGGTAGAGATCCACAAATGCCTTCAACAGGGTGTAACAGAGCTCCCTGATCATTATCTTCACTCGCATACCGTGCTTCAGCGTTACGATCAACACAGATGAATTCGGTGCGCTCAAGTTCGTATCTTTGTGTCATCAAATAACCGTAGTATTCCCTGGTCCATTCTTCTGATGGACATTCATTGGTACCTGGAATCATTAGTACTCTGCTACGAGAATTAACCAAACACACGGCACATACAGCTTCATAGTCTTGCAGGTGAGATAAAGGATTAAAGTGTATAGTTTCAAATTCAGTTCCATACATCTTTCCACTGTAATCTTCGTAGCCACTCATGGGTTCATCCCATTTCGGATTTAATGTCAGACACTGATAGTTTGCACCGCCGCCAGTATGACTATAATATGCCCCGCCCATGACACCTGTAAATAAGATAATGGTATCATGCAGTACTGTAACTATACTAACCAGCGAGAACAAACCAGATATTTGATATATCCAAGACAATGTTAATTGAACATTACGAGCAGTGTTAAGTTTTGAACTGAACTATTTCTAATGTCGTGAGTATCCAGTAAGCTATTTGACATTAAAATAGTTGGCACTTGGACGTTTATTTAATTGAGTTTGATACAATACAAGGCAGAAGATACATTGAACACAATACATTTAACGTACAGCAATATATAAAAAAAATATCCTTCCTATAATGCGTTTTATTAAATTATTGATTATATGACCCCTTTTTTGCATTCCCGCAAAAAATAGTTTATGAAAAGAATAATTCAAAGTATACATAGATATAGTAGGGTGATCTTATCCTATCAATAAGATGAAATAATCTGTCAATTAACAACTAATTAATTCTCTAAATAAAAATATTATAAAAACTCAATTTGAATTGTGTTCATTGAAATTGAAATTCAAGCATTTTATTGAAATATCTGCAATTTATTTCCACTCACCGTCATACACCAATTCAGCACTTAAAGGACACGTTTTTCTACCCCACCGAGTATACAGAGTTCCAGGCCCGTCGAGAATGTTCATTTCCTCATCTGAAGATATTCCATTAGTACTATTGTTGGATTTCATCACAGGCGCCTCGCCTAATATTAAGGAAAAACTGAAGTGTTATGATGACAAAATATATGATAATATCGATGTTGAATAAATATTGTTTCAATAGCTGATGCTCAATGTATATATTATGTGTTACACGTAAGTTAAGGTATGACATGAATTACCATCATCGTACGAAGAGTTATAAAATAAAACTGTGTCGTTGATAAGTTCACTTTGGCTGATGTCATTGTCTATGACCAGAACACCTTCTCTTGTACAGCAACCAGTAGATAATTCCTGATAGAAACATGATAATACATTGTTTGAGAATCATGAAGTGATTACAGGTATTATCTAATGTAGGGGAAATAATTAAAATGTCCTAAAAAGTGCATGCCATTTATCTGAATTCTCACGGAGGTTTTGCATTGTTTTCATTACCACAGTTGAATAATTTCATTATTTATACCACTCTTTTTAGTGGTTTAATCATTAATGTCACAAACAAATGCAAGTCGTGGTGATAACGTAATTGGTAAATGATTTTTTTTTATTTTCAACATCTCCGGAGATTGAATATCACCGTTGCCTCTTCTAATATATGTAAATGTTTAAATTGTAAGGACCAGTGCTGATATATAGGGAATTCTGTCACAGAAATCATATTCATGCTGGGACTATTTGGAAGTGTTAGCTGTGCTATCATCTCACCGTAAAGTGTCAATTTGGTGTGATATCTGCACATGTGGTCCTTCAACATGGTTCCCCACAGTCGCATCCGTTAGTGAATGAATCCAGGTAGTGTATTTAGCCTTACCATCAAGTTACCATCAAGTTTGTGACACATTCACCAAGGACAAGGCTCGACCATTATTGGTTTTAAACACCATGTAGAATTTTTGAACTTGGGTCTACCGATCACACTATGCTATGCAATACTGTAACAATGTATAATGAAATATATTCACACAAACGTACCTCAAGACTTCTACGAAACTGTATAGTCTCTTCCTGTAGTTCTTGCATCCTTATAACCACCCATGACGTCATCATAATACACACAATTGTGAATAAGACACATATTATGAAGCCGAATAGATATATGCCAGTCTTAATATTCACTGTGGTCTTTCCTTTTTCAGATGACATCTTGATTTGGAATGTACAACGCAGACAAGTATATCCAGTTGTCAACAACTGCATGGGTTTTTATAAGGAATTAGATCAGAAATGATACTTATGCTAGAGGGGTGTGATACAAATTAGGTCATAGTGATTACGTAGTTCAAGCATTTAATTATATTTATGGCTATGTTATTAACATCCAATGAGTATGTTTATACGTACTTGTGTTCACAATTATAATAAAATACAAGCAATATAAAGTACACATACATACTTATTCGTAGCTTGTTTACCTACTTTTGAAATGGACGACGCTGGAGAACACCTTTAACATCATAATTGCAATTTTTATTCGTATCTGCCGGATATCACAACATTTCGCAATAGGTATTTTATAGGGGTTTTTCCGAGTCGCATTCGCACGTCAGATGGCAGGCATATCAGTGATTTTAAATCAGTTTAATTACACGATATATAAACAACTTATCACTGTTCTGATCAAAGTACGAATGCACGTTGTGACATCAGAATTGACCTACATAACATTATGCCTTAGTGGCCGATTTCGACGAAAATAGCGTTCCTCCGCCTTTTTACTGTAATGTTCATACACGGGAATTGATTTTCTTTTTACGACGTAATCACAAACCCTGCAGCGACAATGACGAATAATTTTGTTTGGAACCATGGAGACGATGTGCACCCCCACTTTAGTCTAACATGTATTGTGCTGTTAGCGTAGTGTACGAAATAAACAGTGTGTGTGAATCAAATATAACCTACAGCTCGTTCAATTAGGTGATATTGAGACATCTTTGATAACTAGAACCCCAGTGACTGTGACTAAAACCGTTGAAACATTTACATGTACTTGACATAATTGCTGACTTTTTACGGATAAACGCAGTCTTTGTGCCGAGGTCTCCCTATTAAATTGTATCACAAACACATAAACAGGTTGAGGTCGACTAGGTTCATTTGGTATGTGAATCAAATGATTAATGTTTTTTCTCATATATCTCGACTCTCTCGACTATCACGCCACACTGTGTTTTTGTTCTTGCACCCCAACACCTCCGTGACGTCATCAATACACTTATTTCTAATATGGTGGGTTGTAGGATAACTAGTTCGATCGACAGAGCCGGGGATCTTGTAACTTCGTGCGTTGTTATGTGGCGCAAAAGGTATGGTAGAGAAATGTTTGATAAGTTTGTATCTTTGAATGACAATGATATCAGAGTAATAACATTACTCGGCTGTTCATGAATACAGAATGCGACTAAATATGATTGCAATTGCATATCTGACTACTTCGATAGCAAGTTTTTGTAATGTTATGTATGAATGTATACTATATGTTCTATGACGTGCTGTATTATTTTGTTGTGGTTTTCCAAACAGTGATTACATTATACATCACAACACATAATAGTACCTTAAAATGTGTTGAGCATAACCTTCCCCGCGACGGTCTAAATCTTATTTTAGCTCAAATGAAGTACCAGAGAATAAACGTTTTGAAATACATGGCAGGCAATATTTTACCTGGGTTGAAAAATTACACTCCAAGGTGATTATGGTGTTATAACTACAGACATGAAGCCACGCCATCATGACGCCAAATATTAGAATGAAAAACCAGTCGCATTCAAAATTGGCCAGTACACTGGCCTGTAATAAAAATGTAAGCTAAACAAAAATATGAATATCAGATCTTTAGAATAACTGGGTTTAAAAAAAGTTGAAAGTAGTATTATTTCGAATTTTAACTACATTGTTGGTTGTCCCAAAACACCACATATATCATAAGATTAGATATGTTACGAAAATACGTGAAACTTTCTGTCATTAAAATACTTTTTTTTTCTCTTTTTTTTACATTTAGATTTTTCTCAAAACATTTTACCCTCAATGAATGTACAAACTTTTCAACGAATTTAAATTTTTAATATGAAAGAAACAATGTCAGGATTAGTCTGGAATCTAAGGCCAAGAATTTGGAGTGTAGCTGTACCACACGTAAAACATTGTGGAAACAGACTTTTCTTATGCAGAATTTTCTGACTTTTTCCAAAATGCCTGTTTTTAGGACGTAAAATGCCCTAAAAGAGGCGAAAATTGACATGTTGCTATGGCAACCTGAAAATATCATGAATTCATTAAAAGATCTATATTTACAATACATATGAAGATTCAGATGTAAAGTCGGTACCAAAATGTAGATCGCGGATTAGCCCAATTATTTATGACATCCTATATGTTAATTAGCTAATTTGTAAATTCATAAATAACCAACAAAGCTGTTTTTTCAAAGAAAATTGTATATATTACGTGATTGTTTATTTTTCAGGAAGATACAGGAGCAATGCTGTTGGTGCTCGATCTTGAGTCATCCAAAGGATTTTTATTGTGTTTCCTTCTATCATATCCATTGGGGCTCACAGTTAGAAATGAGGCATTCAGTGAATTCCATATGTAGAACTAACAGTTTGCTCTGCGAGTGTGTAATGTCAGGGAATCTTGAGTTGGCTCGTGTTTCATGAGCATCTGCCCCATTTGACAACTGTACCTTACCTCATTCACACTGGTTGCATTTGGCTCATTAAAATGCAACACAGGCCCGTTTCACATTTGGTCAGTAGGTCTGCCGTAATGTAAAGCCAGATCTATCATGGCAGACATGAAATATGCATCTTCCTTCATTAACTCAAAAAATGTCTCCTTTCCTTTGCCACAGAAACTGCTTGTTGTATCACATCCTGAGAATGCCTGCATATCAGAAAGTGCCTTGAAGACGTATTCTCCATGTTTCCTGCATATAGCTTGAATGTCAATGTACTTCCATCGTTTTTGAGTACCCAGTCTGTTGGTAATCAGTGAAATGTCAATTTCCTTTTTAAAAATACACAGCAAGGACAATCACATCAGTGTCAGATTTTTTACAGGACAACTGCAATTTACTTGCAGTGCAACAACAGTTTTGTGCCCCCTGTTGACTTAACTTTTCTGACTCGGAAAATGGATTCAACATGCTGGCAAGAACCTCGACTACCTGTCTCACATCTTTCTCATCTGTTTGTATCCGGGAGGGTCCTGCCTCTTTGTAGAGCCACTTGCATTCATCTGATATGCCAGAATATCTTCTGATGTTTTCAGTTATCTGTGAGCGGTAAGCTGTTTCAATCCATCTCCCTGCTGCATCTGGATTTCAGCTTTTTCCAACAATTCATCCTGGTAATTTGCTCCTCTTGTTTATTGTTTCCTCAACAGATTGCTCCTCTGGAATCTTCTCAAATGGAATTTTCTTTGATTGTTGAACGCCAAACTGACCATGTGTTAGCTGTATGTGCACTGCAGGGTGGGTATTAGTAAGATTCCTCATGGTGCAAAGGTAGTATGCTGCAACATGCATCGCTCAATTGCCTACTCTATCAGCCTTGATGAATGCTAACAATATCCCTACCATCCTTAGAATGTTGCTCCAGAAAAAGAACATGGTCCTTTCTCGTTATACCGCCAGTCTTCAAACAGTGTAAAGAGCGTCTAGAAGTTTTCAGACAGCAGAACCACCTTGACTGTGTCTTTCTCAAGGCAGTCTCGAATTTCCAGAACTTGATCTTCAATTAGACTGATATCAATGTCAAAACGATGAAACACATCTGGATTGTGATTGCCTCCAAAAAAAACAACTTTTTCCGAAGGCTTTTGAGAAGTAGCTTCCAGACTATTAGTATACTATATATTATATTATTACGAGGATACCGAAAAGTGTGCACGATCGACCGACGCTCATATTATACATCTTTTTCTCCCATAGGAATGCCGAAATCCGAAAAGTTTGGAACAGATTCAATTTATTTATGTGTAGTCAAGTCAAATCCCTAGTGGCAGCTAGCCATGTTTGTTCTTATTATTGGAGGACGCTTACATGCGTAATCATTCCATATTATGAATACGCATTTCCTGATACGGTAGGAGGAGAATACCACGTAAAATACCTGTTGCTGTATTAATATAAATATAGTGAACTATAATGCATTACATCGTAAATAAAAGTATTGACAATTAGAATGCGTATTTTGTAGAAATCGTTACCCAAATTAACCGGTTGGCTTAAAAACTTAATTTTATTTGGGTTAGACCTTAACGCCACAGTAATAATTTAATATGAGATTGAAAAACAAGAGAAACACAGTGTCAATAATATCTTTATTGATTTGCGGAAAGCCCACGCGTGTATTTATCTACTCAGACACCGGTAATAGAAAGCTGATCCAGTTGTATTTACTTGTTATTTCTGAACTCTACAAATAATATATATTGTTTTCATATTTACAAGGGGACGATCTTTAAATAATATCTAACTTCATCACGATTTGTAATGTATCAACTAAAAACAATTAGCATATGAAATTACAAGGAAAACACTATAATACACGCGAGCTATTTCATTCTTCTATTGGTAGTACAAATATTCTATGACAAAAACGCATCATGACAATCACGTTTACCGAGAACGAAGCTTTCTCAGATTTTCCAGTTGGCCAAGTTCTCAGTGATGGAAGTGGAAGGTAATTTTATTTATACTAAAATCTATCAATGAACTTGGGCTTATAATATAATATAATTCAATACTAAACTTACATTCATCTACTCTTATCACAAATGACATTCGTGAACTGTGTGTGTGAGCGCGTGTTTGCATAAATAACCCCTAACTATGCTGTCTAAATCTCCTACTGGCTGTGATATACCTAGAACAATTTAAATAAAAATGCGTTCATTCAAATGATGAACCAACTTTTAACGAGTTAATATAGATGGCGCAATCAGACAAAACATCATGTGCATTTGAACCCCGGAAATAGAATGCTAGTAAAGTAATTATAATCCGATAATAGGGACACATATAGTATATCATT